TGCAGTCCCCTCCTCCGCTGCCGCCCGGCAGGAGCTTTGGGAGGGCCCCAGCCGGGCTATTTGGAGCCTTTCCTGCGCGTCCCTCCCCCCGCACACGTTTCTCTTTGGAAAAAGCCGTCAAGAAGCCCTCAGTTTTTTGAGCCCCCCCAGGACTTCGGGCGCGGGACCGACCCGCAGAGAAGGCGCTTCCTCCCACGCCACACGGACAGCCCAAATCAAGGCCGGCACTGTCCCTTTCCTCCCCAAAATGTATCTTGCCCGGTTTGCCCGGGGCTGCCCTCGAGTTGGCGTGCCAGTGTGGGATTCCGCCTCCCCCCTCGCCCTCTGGGTCTCCTGGGCGAGCCTGAGTCATGTAAACTGAGCGCTAGACTCTGACAGACATCTTCCCGGTGTGAGATCAGCGGTGGCCGAGATTCAGGCTTGGCCCCCCCTGGCCATGGAGGGGGTCCTGTTTTCTTCCTGGGTCTGAGGGATGGGTGGGCCTGAATGGGGCACCATCTCAGCTGGGGGCTTGGTTCAAACTCTCCCTGGGGTGCCTCCTTCGCAGCACCACTGTGGTGGCCTGTCCATGCAAGTGAGTATCATGATGCGATTGTACCTCGCCACCGCTTGACGTTGACGCAGAAGCTACAAAGCTAAAATTGTAGGCTGCTGTCCTAAAGGCAAGTAGAAAGCATTCTGTGGAAATATGTTAGGTGGGTGGAATGACTTTAGGAGGCAGGAGGAAGAGCCACAGGTTAAACAACCGTCATGCAAAAGGTATCTCAGCCCAAAGAAGGAATAGGGCCGTGGGAAGTGTCTCAGAAGGGACCCTCCCTAGTTTTCTGGAGAGTAAAAGGAAAGGAGGGGAGAAATGCTTTCAGACTGGCAAGATTCTGTTACTGTAACCTGGCAATAAAGGTAGTGTTAGTACCCATGGTTGATGCTTCATGTCTGGACTACCTGGAAGGGCTGACAGTGGGTGAGTGCAGAACCTGTTAGAAAGCAAGAGGCCACCCTCCCCGCCACCTTGCGCTCCCATCTCTTCCTTCCAATAGCTCATTTCTTTTTCTATGTCTTAATTTTCTCCCGTCCAACTGCCTACTTTGTTATCAACGTGACACAATTCATTGACATTCTGTTATTTTCTCTTTACGTTGGAGTGTGTGTGTGTGTGTATTTGAAACGTTGAGCAGCATTCCCAAACCTCTGCCAGTTTGGAACTCCCGCCAATTGGTGACTTAGTCTGCGATGCTAAACCAGCGCCTACGTAGGGCTTCGGTCGTCCTTTTCCTGACTTTAAAGAATTCTGTAACCTTTCCTCTTAGTTTATTTTCCTCCGGCCGGTTCCTGTGACTGGGAGCCGAGGCCTCTGTTGCAATCGGGACATACTTTAACCTCTTGCAGCCACTGTGACCTTCCAAATCCCAGGAAAGAAATGAATTCAGATTCATTTCCTCACGCACCCGATTGCCAGGGTAGGTGCCCAGGGAGTCCATAGGTAGCCAGGCAACCCAGACCCAGCTCGGAGCCAGGCAGAGCAGCTGGCCTTTTCTCCCTTTTTCTCAACCTGGCTCTCCTTCTGTTCCTTCCTGCAGGCAGCTTCCGTCTTGGCAAGTCAAGGCCGTGTTCACCCTCCTGGCTCGCTGGCCTTCCCCCCCATCTTCCTGGACGTGGTCGGGGCCATCCCCTGCCAGCCTGGCTCTCCAATCCTGTAAAAACTTGGGTTGCCCGATGCCTATCATTCCTATCCCGCGGCGGGTTCGTTCTTTCCACGGCCCCCACACGACATGCCTGCACTCGGCCTGCGGGCCGGTCCGGACCACCCCCTTGGTGCGAACCAAGTACAACAACTTTGATATCTACCTGAAGTCCCGCTGGATGTACGGGGTGATCCGTTTCTTGCTGTACTTCAGCTGCAGCCTGTTTACCTCCGTCCTCTGGGCGGCGCTGGCGGTCTTGTTTTGCATCCAGTATCTCAGCATCCGGTTCTTTCTCCGCTTCCAATACAAACTCTCTATTATCCTGCTCCTGTTGGGAAGGAGACGGGTGGACTTTAGCCTGGTTAACGAACTGCTCATCTATGCCATTCATGTCACCATGCTGCTGGTGGGAGGCCTGGGCTGGTGCTTCATGGTTTTTGTCGATATGTAAATAAAGGCAGCGAAGGCATGGAGGCCAAGGCGCTGGGGTGACCTTAACCTGGGGGTCAGATCCACCTGTGACTTCCCTCTGCTCTTGCCCCGTCATCTCTCTCCAGCCACCATAGGTCCACGTCCCAAGGCTTGCTTATGATTGAGGTGGCTTGGAGAGAGAGTCAGTTTCGTTCTGATCACCTTGTAAACAACGTCAGTGGACACTGATGGGTCTCAGGAAGACTGGCACCAAATGTTACAGTATATGCCCCCCTCTCAACAGGAGAACAGTTTGCTGGCCACTGAACCCTCTTATGGATCCTGCATTGTTCCCTCTCCCTTCCCCTTCCCTTCCGGTACTCAGTGTTTGGAAATGATCTCCTGAGTTCTCGTTTGGTTGATCGTCTTTGTTCATCTAATGTGTTTTTAGGTATATCTGGAATATTTTTGTTCGTCTAATGTGTTTTTAGGAATCTCTCTCCCCGCTCCACCAAAAAAGAAAAAAGAAAAAGAAAAGCCTAGTAATAATTTTAACTTGTTCTTCAGTGGCCTTGTTTGACTTCAGAGTTGCTGACAAGCAGCCTGTAAGTTGACCGTTAGAAGGAGAGATGGGTGCTGCCCTTCTCATGCGTATTCATGTCTTGTGGGGGTTGTGCTGCCCTTATGTTCCCCTTGTGCACTTCAGACTGAAGATTGTGGGCTGATCCCTTGTTAATAAGAAGTAGTAAAAATGGATAAAAGGGGTTTTTCAGCTGCTGTTGTCTTAGTCTGTCTTTCTTCCTGAGATGGGCCCATGTTCTCACATGTGCAAGCTTTTGAAAGTTGCAATTGTTTATGTGTTAAGACTGAAGGATGCTGGAACTGGGGTAATATGGGGGAGAATGATCAAGCTTTGAATCAGGACGTCCAGGTCTCATTTTTGCCAAGAATTTAATGGCTGTGTTCACACAACACACTTATCCTTCAACCTGGGTCAATAAAGCAGGGTGGTTGGGTTCGTAGAACCTGCTGTGTGCCAACAAAGCATATTGTGGCTTAATGGGATGCTGAGGCAATGACTGAGATCCCGCACCAGGCTGAATTACAGATGACCCAACCCTGAGCCTAGCTTAGTGTGTTGAGCAAACGTCGCCTTCAGGCGGACTTTAATAGGCCAGCATCTCTTGCGTTCAGCCCATCTGCAGCATCACTCTGGTCCTGGCTTGTCCCACAGGCAAAATAACAATGTCTGGGTAGCCCTTGGGGCATTCCAATATGCCTCCTTCATTGCTGTGTTGTTTAACAGAAACCGTTTTTGCATATGCATAGCCTCTGCCTGAGCAGAGAATCCAGTCCAGCAGAGAATCCCCTGAGGGCCAGCGAGAAACAAAGAAAGGGAAGTCTTGTTTCAACTTCCTTGAAACAGTGGAGGGGAGTAGGGTCTCTCTCTAGGGGCAACAGAGGAAGAGACTTAGGGGATCTTACCATCATGCGATCTTTTCTAAAATCTCCCTCCCTCCCTCCCCTGCTTCTGGAAGGGGAGGGGGGATCAAATGCAGCTTCCTTCTGCCTGTATCTGCATTGCCCTTGCGTGGTTTGTCCCACTTGCTCTTCCCTCATTCGGCAACCTGGCTGAGATTAAAGCCTCCTTCTTTACCACAGAGACAAGCTCGCCTGCGTACGGATGGCTTCTGCTAGTTTAATTCATCGGTTCGCCCCAGCTGCAGCAAAAGGAAAAGTCTGTATGGCGCTCCCGCGCAGGGGTCGGCCTGGAACGGCAGACCCCGTGCGCCAGCCTCCGTCTGCTTGCTGAGCCGCGACATTGAGCGTCCCAGGTCTGCATAACGCAGCAGCGTTGCCGCTATGCAGCAACCCTCTGCTGGGTGCAATCACAGGCTTTGCTTGTATGCAGAATAAACACATCATGCTGCGTGAGAAGCCTGGCTCCTTGTTTCCACCAGGGGCCGAGGGAGGGGTGGCGAGGGGGATCTTGAGGCTGTCCTCCTCCTGTCTTGTTCCTTGAAAGTAATTGGGGGTGCAGAAAGGGAGGGGGAGGCAGAAAGCTGACCAGGTTTTCCCGTTTGGACTCCGGTCTGGATGAGAATCGCCCTTCCCAAAGTGAATCCCCGTTGGAGGAAGGAAGGAGAGGTGTGTGACATGAAATGGTGGGATTAAGAGTCTGACGACATATCAGAAGGGCATCGGGTTAGAGAAGCTGCCTTAAAGAAAAGGCAGGCTTAGTTTCTTTTCACTAACATTTTCCCCGCAGTTCCTACAGCAGCGTCCCCTGCTTAGATCAAGGGAAAACGCTCCCTTTAGTCCTTGTTAGAGGAGAAAGTAGCAAATAAGTCAGCTTTGAAAGCCTCCGGAAAGAGCCCTTCCAGGAAACATGTCAAACCCCAACAGGAGGAGAATGTGACTGAATCACAGGCATGCACCACAAGGTGAGTTTTAGGCTTCAGTGGCTGGATCTCTTGGAAGAATTCAGAGGTGTAAAAATGACATGTCCCTTTGCGGGCTGGTCATTCCAAAATGAAAGTTGGGGCTGAAATTAATTTTATAAGATTAGAGCAGTGTTTCTCAACCTCAGCTACTTTAAGATGTATGGACCTCAATTCCCAGAATTCCCCAGCCAGCATGCTGGCTGGGGAATTCTGGGAGTTGAAGTCCTCACATCTTAAAGTAGCTGAGGTTGAAAAATACTGGATTAGAAGCTAGCCAGAATTCCCCAAGACCTATGAAGTCGTCTTGGAGCACGTATGGAGTTTCTTTCCTTAAGGGGAAAATTGAAGGAACTCAGTACATGCTCAAAGGTAACCTCATTGTTACCCCTATCAGTTAAACAGATTTCAGATTTTGGTTTTATCTTTTAAAGATTTGTCTGGTAGCCTTTTTGCAACAAAAATATTGGCACCACAGGTTGGCACAGTATAATAAATATGTTTACTAGTCAGAGGTGTAACTTTAAAATAGAGGAACTTTATCTAGCAGCCTTTAATGGAGTTTACATGATATTATCCCAGCTCCTGTCTGGATTTTGATGAGATGGGGAATAGAAAGCAAGGTGGCTATTTCACAAAGCTGTTTTAAAATGCTTTTGTTCTGTAAGTTCAAACATAGCTTGCTGGCCAGAGGGAATTTTGCCACCCCCCCGAACGTGCGTCTGTTTGGCTTTACAGTTTTGTGTGTTTCCGTCCCACGCATAGGGAAAAGGAATCTGCTGCTGGAATCTTAGGCAAGTTAAAGGGAATCTTTTCCTCCAGAGTGGAAGAGTCCTGTGTAGCTTGGAAGCTGGCATATGGCTGCATCAGTATCATGGAGTTTGTGTTAAAATTCATCGTTGAGATGGTCTGCAGCTTTGGATAGGTTGAATCCTTGAGGCTTTTATTTGGGGTTATGGCAACAAGCGTAGAAACAAAAACTAAGTTTTGCTGTATTTTGTTCAGCCAAGTAATTTCTATCACTGATGGGCAGGATCTAAGTGGGAAGAAGAATCTTTTTGATTTGATTTGATTAGATTTGTTTTGTATGGCCACCCATCTCACCTAAAGGACTCTGGGGGGCCTCGCACGTTTTCGTTCTCCGATTCCCTTAAAACTGCCATGCAGTTATTTGTGTGACTGTTGCAGAACAGCTTTCTCTTCCCCAAATTAATAGGGAGGCATTCTCTTTATTAGACTGTAACGGTGTTCCTTCTTTCCATGCCCATTGTGGGCTAGCACAGCTATATTGGGCTGGGCTGGGCTGGGCTGGGGTGCAAATTTAGGGCAGTGCACCTCAGGAGCCTGCCAAGATTTAGGGCTGGGGGACACCTCTGGAATTTGAGGAAGGGGTGACCAGCCCTTGCAAGCCAGGGGCGGAAAATGGCACCGCGTAGTACTCAGCCCTCTCCTTGGATTCCAGCCGACTGCGGTCATCCCAGAGTTTTCTTTCCCTCACTCCTCCTCGCACCCTCCCCTTCTGTGCTCAAGCTGCACCATAATTCATGTTAATGCTGATAGCCACAGTGCAGTTATATCCAAGAGGATTTGAAATTAAGGAAGGGCAGCGGAGGGGCTGCCTGTCCCTTTTCGGCACGCCTGCCATGGCGCATCTGCAAACTGACCGAGGTCCAGTTCTCTTTTTCTGAAAAAGTGTGCCTCACCACCAGCTTCTTCCCTTTTTATTCCTTTTTTATTTTATTTTTCCAGGTGGGTTGATGCAGCCCAATTCCTCCTTAATCGCGGGGGAGAGGTGTGCTCTAGCCGGCTTGGAAGGATCGCGCCGGTGCAGAATGAAGTGCTCTCCCTCCCCCTTTCCCCGTCCACTGCGTTGGGGGGCCTGATCCGAGCAGCCCCAAGCAGGGACCTTTGCTGCCATTAGCTAAGGAGGCAGGGCCGAGGGAGCGTCCTGTGTCGCCTGTCAGAATCTGGGCTCCGCTGTGGTTGAGTCCTGATGCTTGGGTGACCTTGGTGATCTCCCGTCCCCGGGAGCACGTGGCCTGTGGGAGCAGGAGGGGGCTGACACTGGCTCGGTGTGTTTGTTCAGCATTTGCTGCAGCTTGTGGCCAAGGCGGCTGGGGATTATTGTTTAGCTCCTTGGATTTGGGCCAGATGTTGGGGGTTTGATACAAGCTCTTTGTTCCTGGCCCAGTTAATGTTGCCTGTTTGTGGAAGCTGGACATCAGGCGTAGCTTGATGCTTGGACCATTATCTCTTGCAGACACAGGGCAGGAGATGGGATTTCATATCAATCTCGACACTGCCTCCCCACCCCCCCCCCCCCCCCCCCC